AAGTCGGGTTTACCGGGTATGGAGGAGGTAGTCGTAAAGTGTTTAAATTTAAAGGAAGATTTGGAGTCTGTGGGGATTGTGGTGGAAGATTTCCTGAACCGTAAAAAGGTTGAGTAATTGACGAAGCAGGAGGTAACGCCGAGTGCGTTTGAGTTTCTTGCTGTACTGGAGATCCTACCTTCGAAGCGTTTGAATACGAAGACTTGTAAGAAGGTGATGGTGCCGGATTCAACATTGACATGATGTTGAACGAAGAAGTCGTTTGTTTTTGTGGTACTTGCTGCATTTCTTCTTTACTCTCTTGTTTATATTCACTTGTTGATAAATTCTTTACTTGACTTGTGGGTTCTTGGGAAGATTCTAATAAAAGTTCTACTACGGGAGACATTTCACTGATACTCTTTTACATTCCCCAGAGAAAGAACAGAGAAAGAAGAAGTGGTAAATGAAGAAAAAAAAAAAAAAAAATCTAAAAAATAATTTTGAGGGGAAACCAAGAGTCCAAAAAAAAAAGGCTTATCATAGTTGCTATCTTTTTATGGTTGGTAGAGCTATACGAATGATCATTAGCATATCAGGTTTATAAAAACGTGAGTGGGGCGAGTTATAAAAATCAATTGAAATCCTCAGCAAATAAAAATTTTCTACATTATAATTGTATGATAACTAAACCAAAGAAGTTCAAAGAACGCCTTCTTTAAGTAACGACAATATGACAAAAATCTAAAAACAGCTTCAACCCCTTCATGTTGTGCAAGCCATCCTGTTGTTGCTCGTTTTTTTTTTGGTGACACAAAGAACTACATGACATATTATCATTTTTTTTTAAGTTTACTGCGTAATTCGTTCTTAACATTTATGAAATCTTTTTCAAAATGGTAAGTACAACCTATCTTTGTATTCCGTTGTGGTGTTTTTATTATTTGTTTATTTTTAATTGATCATACTTTAAGGCTCGTAATGAAGAAAAAGCACAGTAAGCTTCTTTCCAGTTTTTATTTTCATTATATGTATACATTAAAAGTAGTTAAAAATTTCATTTGTAATTTAGATCTATGCTTTACCGGTTTCGGGAGGCTCAGGCTGTTCAACTCGGATTAGTAAAGCCAAAAGAGCGTCGACCTTTTTTGGCCTCAGATTGTAATAATTTGAAAGACGCGGAGAAATGGCGACAACAAATAATAAGAGAAATTTCTAGAAAAGTGTCAAAAATTCAGGATGGTAATTAACAAAATTTTTTAACTTTTTCTTTTAACCTTAATTTATTTAATTAAAAAATTCTATGTATAGCTGGCCTGTCGGATTATCAGATCAGAGATCTGAATGATGAAATCAATAAATTAATGAGAGAAAAGGGTCATTGGGATGATCAAATAAAAAAACTGGGTGGTCCAGATTATAAAGTAAATAAATATTTCGTTTATCATTATTTTCCCCTTAAAATATATTAAAATGTTCATAAATTTCACAATTTCTAGAGAGTGGGCCCAAAAATGTTGGATGATGAAGGTAAAGAAGTACCAGGAAATAGAGGTTATAAGTATGTATGTGTTATTAAAAAAAATGTTTTTAACAATTATAACCATAAATTTTCCGTTTTAAAGGTATTTTGGAAGAGCAAAAGACTTGCCTGGAGTAAGAGAATTATTTGAGCAAGATGGTAATAATTAATTTACTTGATTCCATAATATTTTTTTTATACATCACTTATTAATATATATTTAAAAAATTAGTTCCCACTCCACAAAAACGTACGAGATTTGATTTATATAAAAATGTAGATGCGGATTATTATGGATATCGTGATGAAGAAGATTCAACTTTGTTAGAATATGAGCGAGAAGTCGAAAATGGGGGTATGAAATCCATAATACAATTAAGGATTTTTACGATCTTTTTTAAGGTTATAATTCTATACCTTTGTTTTTATAAATTAGTTATTGCCGAAGCTTTAGAAATACCAGATGTTACAGTCCTTAAAGATAAATCAATACAAAAGAAAAAAGAGGGTACCTCACAAATAGAGGATGTTCCAATGGACATTGATTCATCATCAGAAAAATATATGGCACATGTTGACGTGCCGTCTCAAACAGACGTAGAAGAATATTTAGTACGAAGAAGAAAACGTCAAATGCTTGATCGTTACGTGTCGGAAGAAACCGGACAGAAATCATAGCTTTTTTTCTTTTCTTTTTGTTTTTACGAGAATTATCACACAATCATATTTACTTTCTCACATTATTTGAGAACATTTCATGAAAATCAATTCTGAAAATGATTAATATGAATATTCAACAAGACCGTGAAAAAGTAAGTCCTCAAGCAGGATTAATTCTTGCATTTTTTAACTTTTGCATTAATAGAACTGACCGTTATACAACATATAGATATTCGATAATCCTTATTGTATAATTTTATGCAGTATACCGATACATTAAAATTCCAATTAAATATTACCCCAGTTTTTGTCGCGGTAGAGTCATGTTGTAGACATGGGTCAAATCATATTTATTATTTCTAATAAGACTTCCACGTAATTTCGAAAGATATTTGGATTAAAACTAATACTTCAGAGATTTCGGAAAATTTAAGTCAATTATGAATGAAACTCTCATTTTTCTCATTGAATTTGAATTAAAGAAACTTCATTCGCACAAAATTTTTATCACTTGAATACCTGAATCATACATAATAAGTTGCTAAATGGAATTTACAAGACAGCTATTTAGCTCGTACTAAATGTTATTATCCCAGAGATGGTGAAAGGCTGAACCTCCTAACAAAAGACTAATAGTATAGAACTTTTTTTGTACTAAGTCATTATCTTTAAAACTTAAATTTTTTATGTACATACGGTTTACTTGTGAAAATAGTGATTGTCCCATATATAATAACAAGTTATAACTACTATTATTTGAAATACAAAAAAAATAAAGCATTTACATTTAAAGTTTGTTTATTTTTTTTTTTAACCAAAATGGTTTCAAAAAAAAATATAAACTAGGTCTGTTCTATATAAATTATTCAAACACTTGATCTTTAAAAAACTTACAAAATATATACTATACCAAATTTATCAATTAATAATATAATGATATATAGTAGTAATATAAAGAAATGAAATTATTATGTTTAATAAATATATGATAATTAGGTTTTATGATTTAAAGAATAGATAAATATTTTCAAATTTGTGACAAATTTTAGATGACACGCTTAATGAACAACCTGCACAAGTTATTTAAACTATAGTTGTAAATAATTCTCATGAAATATATTTATATTTACCATTATATGATACACTTCATCAAACAGTTAAGCAAGTTCAACATGTTAATATTTCTGCAGAACTAATATCTTTAGAAAATCTTACTATTTCTAAAATATGTGAGTAACTTTAAATGGATTAAAGTTTTTAAATAGAGAGATTCAACCATAAGTGATAGAAAAGTATTAATGTTTATAACTGCTGCTAAAATAATACATTTAACATAATTACTATTTTGGATTATGAATGGTATTTTTAAGACAATTTCAACAATTTTTAAACAACTATATATCATCTATGAATGTATTGGTAAAAATGAAAATTCACAGATTATGCTACTGGTATTTGCATTAATATCTCACAAATTTAAAGAATGCTATAGGATATTATTTCAGAATTTAATTAATTTTAATGATGAGCATAATATTGATTTATAACTATTCCTTAGACTGTCACAGGCAAATTTGCCTACTTATTTACTATAAATTTTCTTCTGATTTACTTTTTAAAAAATTAATTTTATAAATATGTATTATATTATAGTAATTTTTATTTTTTAATTATAATTTACAGTTACTTATAAGCTAAAAATTTGTAATTTTTAAAAAAATTATAAATTAAAAAATTTCATTATTAACCTTTGACAATCTTATTAACATTTACTTTTAGCAATATTAATCATAATAGAATATTATAAAATTTATCATGAAGGATAACTTTAATTATTATACTTTTTATAATTACTAAGAAATTTTATGACTTTTATTAGTAATGAGGTGATTCAATTAGTTTGCATATAAATTTTAAAGAATTTTTTAAAACTTAAATTTAAAAATTAAATTATTTAAAATATCTTATAAACTTAAAATTTCTTTTAATAAAATTAATAAAATATATATTAAACTATATTTTTCATATAATTATTATATATTAAAATTAATATTTAATATTTTATTAAAAAAAAATAACACATTTTTTTAAGTTTGCAAGCAAGTTTGCCTGCTAGACAATCTAAGAGATAATAATTTAAATACTAAAATTTATTTAAAATCAGTTTAATATATAATTTTCAAAATATTTTAAAAAAAATAACAAAAAATTAATAAAAATAAAAAATGAAAAGTTTTATATTTTATTAGAAAAATTATTTTTAAACAGATTTAATAATGAAAAGGATTACATTTAAACAAGAAATATAAAGATTATTAATATAATAAAGTTTAAGTTGTAAATTTCTCTATACAGGATATTAATTGTAATAAAGTTTTCTAAATAATAATATAAAGATTCTCTATACAGGATATTAATTGTAAATAAAGTTTTCTTATATATTTTTAATAATAATATAAGATTATTAATATAATAAAGTTTAAGTTGTAAATTTCTCTATACAGGAAACTAAAAGAAAATAAAGTTTTCTTATATATTTGAATAATTAAACTTTTAAATTGTTCTTTAAACTACCATTATTTGCGGAATGGTAGCTTTAAAAGCAAAATAAAAGTTCAAACTGACCCTTCAGTTATCAACTTTAAATATCTTTCTTTCAACACCTATAATTTGACGCATATTTTTTTCTTTTTCCCAGCGGTTGTGGCGCGTATCCAGGAACAAGGTGTAAAGTTGATAGGCTAGTTATTTGATTAGAATCGCAATTAATAAGTTAGGTAAAGCTAGTAAGCTCGATATTTTCAAAACAGAAGACAAATAAGTTTTTTGTTTTTTTACCATTATAACTGATATTTTCATTTATAAAACTTTTGACATTTTGGTTACGCACACGCCAGATGAAAACTAGAAAGTACGTTGTATGTTCCTTAAACGACTGCATTAAGTAAGATGTTTTTTTATTCTCTTTTGTTAAGTAATTGTATTTGCTATTAATATTTAGTTTCATTTCGCGGGAAGAAATTTTTTTTTTTTTTTTTTTTCCCCCTTTTTTTTAATTCTTTTTTTGTTAATTGATGAACGAACTTGATGATCGTGAGCCAATGAGATCAGATTGATGCGTGATTTTATTTCTTTGTTCCGTTACATATACCGCATAATTTACAATGGCAAAAAAAAAAAAAATGGAACCCATGTTCTATACAAAATTGTAATAAACAAATAGGTTGTTTTCGTCAATTATCTTAACTAACTTACAAAAAGGCACAAGAAAATGGAACCTATATGTATACTAACATTACTTTTTTTCTTTAGATAGTTATACATTTGGGAATTTGGCAAAAAAATGGTATCCGGATTTTATTTGCGGGTATTTGTTATTAGGGTTAGGATTAGAGTTTATATTAGGATTAGGATTAGGATTAGGGTAAAATTAGGATTAGTTAGGAGGTTAGGAAATTTGTCGCATCGCGTCACATCCAAGCCGTTCTTCAATATACTGAGTATTCTGGAGACAGAGATTTTTTGAGAGAAAAATGCTAATTGTCTCAATTAACGTCACCCTAATAAGTATATGTAACCTGATCCGACTACCATTTTTTGGTGGCGACGCTAGGGGAGATTTGCTATGTGATTTAAACTCGATTTAATAGCAAACCTCCCATTTATTGAGGAAATGGTAGTGAATTGTTATCGGATGTCGGGGACATGGACCTGTTGGATCCATTTCCGGTGATGAAGGCGACTTCGGCAATGGCGGCGATGGTTTCATCGGGTAATGTGGATGAATTCTTTTCCGATGATGGTATGACGGAGAATGTGGATGCGGAAGTGACATCACTCATGGATTTACAATATTCACGAAAATTTCGGAAAAATGGTAGTATAGAACTTGATCCTAATCGTTTTCAACAAATAATTGAGGAAGCTTTTAATCAGATGGTAAAGGCACTAATAGATCTATATATTACTGGAATGAGAAATAAATTTGTTACCGAGAAATTGGATTGTATATATCGGCATCAGGAGCATCAGGAGCATCACGAGCATCATGTACTGCAATTGATACAATGAATAACATTAGCTTTTCTTCTTGTTATGTAACGATTAATGATTATAAACAAAAACTTGTAATGAACACTATAAAAATTAGAGAATATTTTCTGTACAAGAGAGTCTTAATAATTTTTGTATATAATATATGTAATTTTTTTTTTCGATTTGAAAAAATGATAAAAAAAAAATAAAGTTTTATGTTTCTATTGAATAAAAATTTTTTTTTATATATTTATAGATTATATACAAGAAAATTCTAATATAAATTAGCTACCTTAGGAGAAATTGTTGACTCAAAATGTCTCTCAACTGAATATAGTTTTGGTGACAGACGACTGTAAAAAAAACTTGATGATGAAGAAGTCTAGTTGGGCATGGATATATGGAGTATAGTTGTCATTAATGTGAATAATATTATAAACGTGTAATATAAATAATGTAAATTCCTTTTTAATTGGAAAAAGGTCCAAATATACTTACACAGAAAAAGGTGAGAATGTTGAAGTTACCTCAATTGAAGACGAATGAAAAGGCGGAAGAAATAAAGCCAGGAACTACGTGTAACTTTTATAAAATGCACTTAACCAAGTTGGCGCTTTGTAACAAAGATTCCAATAAATAAAACCCGAAAAAGTTAGCACTTGGTAATATAAAGCCACAAAATTCAATTCTTCGAAGAAGTATGTCACTGGTATTTAGTAAAAAGGCCGATCGTTTATTGTTACAATAATTGTGTAACACCATCACCAAATTTAGACTTTACCTGGGTAAGATTAATTTTTATAATGTTGGAACATATAGAATTTTAAAGATTACATTAACAGAAATAAAATGTTTTTCTGAGATGTTAAAATACAACTATGTTTTCAATTAATTTTTTTTTTTGACTCTTTCAGTGGAACCCCTAAAAAAAGCAATAACTTTGATCTGGTCCCTAAATAACGACTACATTTAAAGCCTGCACTTGATTGGAATAATCCAATCCAACAATCAGTAACCGAATAGAAATTTAAAGCACCGATTAATCATCTTTGATGTATGCACTTATGGGTCAAATGGAATGAGAATTTTTCATGATCATTTTATTGAAATGTATCATTTTTGACGTAAATCTAATCAAGAAGATCATAGTGAAATCCAATTTTGAAAACTACGATAAATCAGAATGATATTCAAGCGACAAAAAATATAAGTAATATGAAACCATCACAAAATTGTTGTTAGATGGGTTCACACATGATGCGCAAGTCCTTTGCCTGCGCCAAGGCACGACTTTCCTATGCTTAAAGGGGATGCCAGTTTCTAAAAATGAAATTATAACGCGATATAAAAACATATATTATAAAAAATTTGAACTTCCACCTTGTCACTTCGGAAATACTTCTAATCAAACTGCCAACTTTCCATCTCTCATTCTTTTACAAAGAGTTGGGTTCATTGATAATAACAAATGATCCTGATCTACAAGACCTCTTCACTTTTTACGACCCTCCTTAAATGGATCATTGGTTGCAGATTGCGATTATGAGAAAAGTATCGTTGGGAAGTTATATTTTGTACCAGAATACGTATACGTCAGTTCTATTAACACCATCTTTCCAACATCATCTATTAACTATGTTTTAGTCCGAATTTGCATTGGATCGTATAACGGGTTTTCAGTATGCATTGTTAAATTTTTCAAGTTTTCGTTTAATATCTTTGCGCTCATGTATCATAAACTCTTCGTATGAATCTCGAGTTTTACATGAATGCAAGCATTTGATACAGAGCTGTGAAAGTGTATGTTGCCGGATTACTATATTGAATCAAAATAAAGATGTCATTCTTAAATAATCAAAGTTTAAACAAATAATATATTTTAATTTAATACCTACCCACTCATTTTGTTCATCAATAATACAATGATGAAAGTAGACGAAGTTTTAAATTAAAGTTTTAAATTACGTGGTTGAAATAATGTATTCCTGAGGATAAAAAATAAAAGTTTATTAAATTTAATTATTTATTAAATTACTTTGATTTGGAAAAATTTTTTCACCATTTAAATAGAAACATATACAATTAAATGCCTAAATGCATTAACACAGCGGTACTAGTGGGAAGAATACTAGCTAGTTTAAAATGCAAGTATTTCTAAAATATGTCAAAATTTGAAAAAAATTTCTCTGTTTTGATTGGTTGATTCATCCTATATATTGGGAAAAAAAATTATAATATTTGCATATACAAAAAATAATTCTGACAATAATTCGCTAAAAGAAAATTTCTGGACTTTATATAACTAAACCAGTTATTTAACTTTTAAACTCAGCGATAAAGCTCTTCAAAGTAAATTTTTACATCTGGGTAAGCCATACGTTTTGTTTTTATTACACTACATTTAATCATAATATCGTCTTTCCTGATAATAAAAACTTATTTCATGATACACAGAAAAATAAAATGCAAATAGGAGATTTTTTAATTAATGGACAAGCTTTACCAGAATACAAATCAACCGTGTGATGAATCAAATGTAAGCAATAAAATGTTTAAGTATTTCTTTTTTCCTTTACAAAAAAAAAAAATTTAATTCATATTAATCCCTGTCATGACCCCAGGAGAACGGTTTACAATTAGAACTGAGGTCAAACAAGCTAGCACATCCAATATTATAATTTCACGTTTATATTAGATATAGATGGTCAATTTCACGAAGTTCATCATCTTCACCAACAACGTATCAAGGACCATATCGTACTTCGTTAATTTTGAAAGAGATCAAAGTATATTACTTTAAATTTACCAGCACATCTAAAAAAAAAAAGATGATGGTGTATTCAAAGTCCCTTATCCTGTTAATAAATATCCAAATAAGCAAAACCAAACGTCATATAGGAGACCCGGAACAATTACTGCTTGTTTCTTCAAAGGGATTATTGTTGACGAAAGTGCTTTAATTAAACCAGAATTCGAAAGTCAAGCAAGTTAAGGTTACAAATACGGCTGATAATGGGGAGATTGATTATACCATTGGATATGATGTCGTGGATGCAAAAATTCCACCGTCTACCGTAACAAAAATTATTGATATGAAACCCTAGGATTTCCTATGCCAATTTAAATAACAATGTTGTCATGGAACTACCCAGAGAGATCATAGGAATTGACGTAGATTCAACTAAAAGAATCATGGAAATCAATAACACCAAAGTGGAACAAACAACAGAATTTATGGGAATCCTAGACCAAACAAAAGGATAACACCAACGTTGACCCGACAACTGAATTCATGGAAATCCTAGATCCAACAAAAGGAATCATGAACGATAACACCAAAGTAACTCTATCAAAAAGAATCTTAGAAATTGAAAAATTCAACTTTGAAATAAAAAAGGCAAACAAGGTAGTCTACGGAGTTCCAAGATCATTTCAAGAGATAACCGATAGGTTTGAAGGTTTCATAAAAGAACAAGCTGCGATGTCTCAGGAATCTACTCAAGAAATCATGGATCCTGAAATAGAAAAATCGTCATTTGACGAAATCAATGTTTCGCAAATAAAAAATCTAAAAAATATCATGATAAAACGTGTAAACATGAATAGACGAGGAGGAATTTATGTTGCAATTCACAAGAAACTTTTATCATGTGATAGTTTTTTTTTTTACGTTTCTTATTATATAGATTTCTATTGTTGTAAATATTTTTATTTTATTATATTATACTTGGAATTTATGATATTTTTCAAAGTTAAAATAAATTTATTAAATTACATGACATATTATCAACTATAAATTCGTTTAATCTGATCGGCCAATCACATGAAAGTCGGGAAGATTATAGTTGATTTGTTGATTAGTTGATCCAATCACTAGTGAGAAGAATTTGCCAATTCCGAATTTAGTAATAAGGCAATTTTTTTTTTTTTTTTATAAAAAAAAGTGTTTAATTTCAGTCTGTAAATAGGACGACAACTTTCCTAAAGAACAAGAAAAATTTCACTTTGTATCTTAAAGAACAAGAAAAAATTAATTTATCAAAGAACAAGAAAATTAGACTGTCAAAGATTAAAAAAATGGTCTTGCTAAAAAGTACAAGATTAGATTATCTAAAAGAACAAGAAAATTTAGTCTATCTAAGGAACAAGAAAATTGTTGTCCAAAAGAACAAGAAAATTAGACTGTCTAAAATAACAAGAAAATTTAGTCCGTCTAAAGATCAAGGTTCTTCAAAGCAATCCTTCACTGATGCAAACGTCACTTGGGATCCTGCACCAAATAATTGTAATATTAGTGAGTCATCCAATTCAAGTGATAATCATTATTTGCTAAAATGGTTTTTCTAAAAAGTAAAATAGAATTATCTAAAAGAACAAGAAAATTTAGTCTATCTAAAGGACAAGAAAATTGTTCTGTCTAAAAGAACAAGAAGATTAGATTGTCTAAAAAAAAAAAAATTTCACAAAAAAAAAATATTTCATAAAATATACCTATTGTTCGGTTTTTGGTCATTCGCTTGGGAAGAGGCAACCTTTACAGTCTCAGGCTTTTTGAAAAAGCATTCGGTTGAGTTACCTTATTTTATGGTTTTTTGATAGATTTTGGGAAGAAGGAAAAACATCAAATCAGATATTAAGATTTCGAATGCGTGAATTTTGGTTCATTCTGAAGCGTCAAAAGCGTTAAAATATTTCAGCATCGCCAAACTTGACCAGCTTGATTAATTAATTATCCAAGTTTTTTGGGGGGTAGAATAATAAGATAAGGTTTATTTTACATTTTGGTGTAGGTTTTTTACGGGACAAAGTTGGGACATTTGGACATATTAGGAAATATAATAGGAATGAGCTTAGAAAACTTAATTCATTTAGGAAGGGAATACATAGTGCGTGCATTTATACGATTATAAAGTAATTCCTTAATCGTTTTATTTATCTATAAATTAATCAACAACAATATATCAACTTCATCATATCATCAACATTACCTCCACCGTCATCAACTCTTCGACTTCACCACCTCAACCTCACCACCCATCATCAACGACCATTTCGGGATTTTTTTTATGATAACTTTTTTTAGAAATGTAACAATCAATTTATGATATATTTAAAAACCTGCAATAACCCTTTTTTTTTTTTTTTTTTTTTTTTTTTTTTGACTCGCCTATTGCAGTAATTTTCTTTGACCGTTATTTTATTAAATTTTTAATAAAAATAATTACATTAAAACTTTAGTACATTAGCCATTGTTAATTACATTATTTAAACAACTTTCTATATTAGTGTTCCAAGCCAGGATCCAATTTATTAAAAAGCAAGATGAGTTGGACAAAAGGGGTAATGCTTTTTTCATAAAGTGAGATTTAATTTTTTTGAAGACCACAAATCACGTGGATTCTTATGTATAATTGAAATATTATTATACCCATTTCAATCTGGCATAAATCACTAAGAACCGTGTCATGAATATTATTGCTAAACCAATCCTTCCTTACTCAAGTGCGCTAAATGTTTTTCTCCTACATGGATTGATTTACATTTTTTTCGTATGAAACTTTACCCTCATATAATCTTACGTCTCAGCCAATCCACAAGTTATAACTAATTTTACCAATACCACATAAAGTTATGATGAAGAAACAAAATAAGAACGATCTCTCCGTATCGGTTTTGTTTCATACACATTTATAATTTTGGTAATTGGTACAAGATGCTAAAGACGGTTACAGTCACGCTTGTTTAAATATCAAAAAGCATTTCGAAGTGAAGGTATCGGAACGCTAACATTATTAGATAACAATGGACACAATCATTATTAATTAGAATTAAATCAGAAATTTTCAAAACAAATAAAAAAAAAAAATGTTCTACCAGGTGATGGAGGAAGGCTTCTCGGATTTTACCACGCTAAATTAGATCATAAGCAATTTTAACATTATAAACTTTTCCTTATCAGAATGTCAAATTCCATCCATGTATAATGATGTGTTAGTAAAGAATAATGCCATATAACCTCTATGATAAAAGAAAAGCATAAGGAAAATATAATTATTTTATTTACCATTCGAAGTTACAGTACTTCCATTTGTCTGATGATTACACCAGCATCCATAGCAGGGCAATCTCGAACTGAATCTAGCATCTTTCCACCACCTTTAATACCTCCCCAAAATCCATCGTCTAAAAATTTCTCATGGAGGAGTTTCTCGAATAATTTTAGATTTCTTGGATATGCATGTATAATAGATGTTTTAAGATCCGGTATATATGCAGGATCTTATATAAAGCCATTTTGATAATGATTCGTAAAAAGGTTCAGGAACCATGATAGAAGTACTTTTAACGATACGTCGACACAATATCCACTACCCATGAAGGATTGCCAACCTAACACCAAATCCAAATTCAGTTGCAAATTTTAAGTCTTTAAAAATGTCTAGTGATATATATTTAAGGCAGAATTAGCAATGTATAATCTCGCAAAGATTTCATTATATGACCTTTTCAACGCGATAAAATATAAACATATTTGAAGGATTCTTTACCAAAGATGAAATGACGACGAGGAAATCAACATATCACGTTTCGTGTCTCACGTGATCACAGATCAATTATTACCACCTAACCCTAACTTACCCTAACCCTAAATAATCTCAATTAGGTAAACTTCGTTTTCATAAAAAAATTTGTGAAACGTGTATTGTTGAACAAATTTCTAAGCCACTGGCCATTCAATCTCCTAATTCAAAAATTCAAAAATCGCGTACAACTGAACTTTCGCGAAATCGAATGTTATCGATGAACTTTTATTTGTATTTGGTTATCGAGCAAATAAAATGTTGCAAGCCAATTATCATAACTTATTCATTCATCACAGTGCTGTGAAAATCTGGATGATTGCAGTGCTGAAGAAAATTCTTGACTTGGTACTATTAAAGTTTTTAATTTCCAAAAAAAAAAGAAAAGAAAAGAAAGAAAAAGAAAAAGAAAAAGAAAAAAAAAAATCACTTAAAAATTAATAATACATGATGTTCAAAATATTATAGCCTAGTTCGGATAATTATGAGATTCTATCACAGTCTCAATTAATTGATTATTTCGCGTCAAAATTTCGCAATAATGCAAGCATTGCAAAGCATTTACAAGTCTTTTGAAAGAAAGGGGGATCTATTGAATCATAACGATTTCTAATTTGGTTCTATTTTTATTTATTTATTTATTTTTATGTTTTCATCATGAGGTAATGATTAATGTATTGACATCTTAAAATTTTATGCTTAAATTAATGATTAAGGAGAAATTGAATTAATATCACAGATTAATCCCAAAGCATGAAGATGGATTCTTAGAATATATTGAATACATCATCGGACTTCTAAATATAAAGTCCCTTTTAAGAAACAAATGAAAAGGTTGAAACATTGGATGAAGAACGATCAGGAAATTAACAAAGTTTAGAGGTAACATATTAGAAGCAGAAGATTTTCTCCGAGATGAAAACACGTTAGCTTTAAAGCAGTCAATCCTTTAAAAAAAATTGCTAGAGTATAAGATTAATACTGAAATATCAACTAAGGCTGTGTGTGGTAAGTCATTGGACTTAATAACTTATTCAGACACGTTAATTTTAATATGAATGTTAATTTATTTATTAATTCTTAGAATAAATTAAAGATCAACTAAGAGAAAAAGAAGAAAAGCATGTTCAGATAAAACAAGATAAAGGATCTTGAAGAAAAATACAGAGATTCTGTTAATACCTTACAAGTAAAATAATTATAAAAATTTACAATAAATAAACTTTCATTAATTTAATAATTGTAATAAGCAATTTGAAAAAGAAATTAATGAAATTCTAGAAGAATTGGCAAATTATGAGAAAAAAGATATTAACCTGGAAACACACAATTTCTAAACAGAAGAAAGTGACAAGGCAATTTCTACAGTAGGTTTTATTTGGTTATGTTATTTTGATGCACAAATATATTTGAGAAATACAATAAGCTTTTATTATAGGATCGTCATGGCTTTCGGAAGCGAAAACAGAATTACGATTTTATGAACAGGATTTGAATGATCGAATGGAAAAAATGGTGGACTTGGAAATATCTTTAGAGGCCCAAGAAAGTGAACTTGAAAAATTCAGGGAAAGCTTAAAGGGTATGTGAATAGATTTTTTAATCTAATTGTGTAATACCTTTTTTATATTGTAACTGAATTTAATTTCAAATAAAGGCAAGTCAAAAGTTTATTCCAAACTGAAGAAAAGAAAAGAAAACTTGTACCTTGGTTAGAGAAAATCAACAATCACTTATTGATGTCAACCAATCCGAGTATAACATTTTAAAAGAGAAAGTTGATTCAATAAAACAAGATCTTAAACAAACAAAAGAAGATACTGTTACGATTAAAGAATCATGTCGGAAAAAGGTATTGTTATAAGGCATCATTGATGGATTTAATTATAATTGAACTGTTTCTTTGAAACTATTATTTCAATAATTAGACACTGATCTAAAGGTTATTATTTATCATTTAAACTAATATATTAAGTATTTTAAGATTCTCATAAAATATCTTTTATTACTTTTAGCATTATCTTAGTCAGAAAGAACATTTCAAGTCTAGTCTTGCCGATTCTCGACAAAGAGAAGATGGGCGAAAAAACTTCTAAATTTTTCTCAGTCCAGAGACAAGTTCTTAGCAGATTGATAAAGCTCAAACATAGTGGTCGTATAAAAAGTTTATATGTAAGTTCGTCGGAGCAGAACGTAAATTTGTTTTGCTAAAAATCTCATTTATTTTATTGTTTTAATTAGGATCGTTTGGGTAACCTTTGGTGTCATTGATGATTAATACAATGTCGCGATTCAACTGCCTGTCCTGCATCGAAACCACAAGTAGTTGATTCTATTGAAGATGGACAAACTTGTATAGAATACCTTAAAAGAAACGATTTAGATTGCGCCCGATACAAACACTTGAAAATGTTTCCCGTCTTTTTGATCTTCTTAAGCAAAAGATGACAGGTTTATCCCAGCATTTTATAGGTGTTACAAAACACTTTGGTTGCCCAAAATCTACAACAAGCGAATAGGATCACATTTACTAATACTCGATGGTCAATTGATTGACAAATCTTGCACTATGAGCGGCGGAGGTTAACAAAGTGTTTAAAGATGCCATGAATTCAAAATTTTCTTCTGACATAATGAAAATTTTAAACCTTTATAACCTTAACTTCAAGAGAAAAAGGATGAACTTCCTAAATTAGAATTTGAACTATCGAAATTAGAGATGGATGCGAATGCTTGCGCAAAACGTATTACATATACTGAAAAAGAGTAGCCGACTTACGGTATGCATATAATTGTATTTACTAATAAATTCTTGTTAAGGGTTAATAGTATATTTTTTTTTTTTTGATTTTTTCCCAATAAGGCAAAAAAATAATCCAAATATACACTCCCTACCCAAAAGTATTAGACCACATAAAAATTTTTATAAAATATCAAATTTTTTTTTATTTACAGTTTTTATTAAACTCAAATAAATAAATATAATATCTTTACTTGATAATGATTAGTTTTCGATATTTTATGTAT